ACTAAAGATCTGATTGGCTCATTAACTGAGTGATGCTGTTACTGTAACACCTGAATTAGAGTGAACCTCCAGAACACACCTCCTGCAGCTCTGCCTGTCTGTCGCTGGAAAAACGCTCCATGAAAAGTATCTATTTTCGTGAAGTTATCAGATTAGGCACGGGTTCAGACAGGACCATGATTGAGTCTGGATCCAGACCCAGGTCCGCCTATAGTGACCTCTGCTCTAAACCAAACCTGGACCACATACGGCCCTTTGGTTTACTCTGACTGGCTTGTGTAAGGGGAATTACAAAATAAACATATTTTCTTATTTTACCTCGTGTGGACTAAAGCTGCATTGCTTTTATTTTTTTTATTCACGTACAAAATGACACAATACACAAACTGTCACGAGCTGGTCACAAGACAACGTTAGCCCTCAAAAAAATCCACTCATGCTAAAAAATAGAAAAGTGGATGACGAGTGCAGGGTTTTCAACAATAAATGGTCTAAATATTTATTTACCGAAGTCAGAGGTAAAGTCGTGTATTTAGTTTGTGGAGAGCAGATCGCTGTGTTTAAGGATTAGTTTGAGTCGGCATTACGAGACAAAACTCGCAGAGAAATACAAAAACTTGACTGATGCTGAAAGGGCGCAGAAGCTTTGCTAGCTGAGCTACAAATGCAGCAAGGCTGTTTTACCGAGCTTCACTCCAGGGATGCAGCAACTTGGTGATATCCCCCAGAATCACTAAAAACTGTAAACCATTCTCGGGGGGGGGGGGGGGGGGGGGTTGTCAAAGAGTGCTTGGTGGACTCTGCAGCGCTAATACGCCTTGAAAAAAGAAGCATTTGATCAGTCCTGCTGTCCAGGAGAACCGTGATGAGAAAGCTCGAGGACACTAAAGAACCTGGAGCTTCAGCTGCAACGTGAAGTGGCAGGTTTGGACTTTTTCTCTTTGGCTTTGGACGAGAGCCGTGATGTCTGAGACACGGCCCAGTTACTCGTATTTGTCCGTGGAACAACAGACTTCAAGATGTTGGAGGAGCTGGTTGCAGTGAAAGGGACAACGACAGGAAATGATTTGTTCACAGACGTAAACGCATGCATGGACACACTGGGACTGAAATGGGACTGGCAGGTGTCAAAGGATCGGTTCAAATCTTACAGGGAAAAAGGTCGGACTTTTGAAATGTATGCAAGATAAAGTGACTAAACTCAGCGAAGATCAGAAATTGGTGTTTTTGCATTGTATTATACACCAACATGTGTTGTGCAAGGCAGTGCTAAAAAATAACCATGTTATTGATGTAACTAAAATAGTAAACGTCATCAGGGCACGAGCGCTGAATCACAGGCAGGTTGGTGCACTTTTAGAGCAGAGTGACATCAGCTACCACACAAATATTAAACAAGATTCTTGCTTAATATTTGAAGTACAAAGACAATATGGTGATGTCTTTAGGAAGCTACAAACCTTTTTCCAACAGTATATGAAACTCAAAATGTGTTTTTGGGTGAATGTGACTGAAAATGATCAATAAGATAACGAGTCACAAATGGTAAAAACATTCACAGTTTACCATTGTACTGGGAACTTTGAAGAAATTACAGTTTCTGTAAGGCAACCTGACTTTTTCGTTGTTTAATCATAACAAATACTCTTTACCAGTCTTACCAGCTTGTCAAAACAATGATATTTACTGCTTTTAATAAAGAAATACTATTAATATTATGCAGTATTGAGTTATGTCATTTGGTCCGGCCTTCCACAATATTTTATGTTTCTCATGTGGCCCCATGGAAAAAATAGCTGCTCACCCCTGCTCTGAACTAAACTGGAGCGCATGTCAATTTCAATATTTATTGTGAATTTTTGGTCAAACAAAGTTACAGAAAAGCTTGAAAATAGTCCCTAAAACAAGAAAGAGTTTATTTATTTATGTCTGAAGACGGCGTTGCCTGTAATCTGTGATCTATGATCTGTAACATTTGTTCTGTGATCTGTAATCTGTGAGCTGTAATCTGTCATCTGTAATCTGTAACATTTGTGCTGTGATCTGTAATCTGTGAGCTGTAATCTGTCATCTGTAATCTGTAACATTTGTTCTGTGATCTGTAATCTGTGAGCTGTAATCTGTCATCTGTAATTTGTAACGTTTGTTCTGTGATCTGTAATCTGTAATCTGTAACATTTGTTCTGTGAGCTGTAATCTGTCATCTGTAATCTATAACATTTATTCTGTGATCTGTAATCTGTAACATTTGTTCTGTGATCTGTAATATGTGAGCTGTAATCTGTCATCTGTGATCTGTAATCTGTAACATTTGTTCTGTGATCTGTAATCTGTAACCTGTGATCGGTAATCTGTCATATGTAATCTGTAACCTTTGTTCTGTAAT